GGTGACTGGATCTCCCTGGTTATAATCTTACCTTCACCCACCCCCACACACTAATTGTTTAAGTAGCATCCTTGGGAATATTGAACATAAAATTATGCACAAAATTGTGAACAGTATGAAAATAGTTAGCTAGATATATCAACAATAAGCTCTGAAGAATTTTTGCTGGTAATTTGTAAAATTTTATATTTAAGATTGATGTAATTCTGAGTCTATTGACTTGAGATTGTGGTAGTTAACATTTGACAAATTCTTGTGAATTGAAAGTTTTGTACAAAATAAGTTCCGTATCACAGTTTTAAGGAATAACAATTTGTTCAAAACTGATTATATAAAGGGTGTCCCAAAATTAATGCAAGATTTGAATTTGTCGCCATTTTTGCTTTAAGTTGTTGGCAACAATGAAAAAAGAACAGTTTGAAAGCCGAGAGTTTAGGGTTAGTGAAAATGGATCGTTTTACAATACAACAATGTGTGTTCGCTATTGAATAATATTTTTAAAAAAATCTGATGTGTACACCACATGACTTCCTTGTACGGAATATTAAATTATACGCATTTTTTCTTGCATTTTATTTAAACTTATTAGATTGAATTAAACATACTTCGCCGACAGCACATAAACCGCAATAGAATAAATGCATTCTTTAAAATTCACTTTGTTTACCATAGCGACACTCTGGCGCTAGGTTTACTTAACAGTATTATATTTCATTCAATTATAACTCAGAATGCACAAAATGTATATCATTTAAAGAATTATCTAATTGTTGGCCCACATGTTCTATTCAAATACTATAATAAAAACTAGAACTATGTATAAAAGAAATTAAGCAAACAAAACAAAAAGAAACAGTTTTTCAAGACGATGAGTATTTCTCATTTAATTAATTCAGTTCTCACTTCGTGAGAAGGCAAAAATACATAAAAACTCAAATATCTATATTAAAAATTATGAAGTAAATCTCAAACGCTTATTTCCTCGAAAAAAATTCAGAAAAGAATTAAGCATGATTTAATTGGCAATAATAAATGAATGCGTTATCTTTGTTGTGCGAACCTAAGTTTCTCTAGATTGGCAACAAATCCATTAGTTTCCTGTTTCAAATGTAAACATCAATGGCCACCATTAAAAACAGGCTTGGCGGCAATTAAACAACTTTAAAAGGCTGATAATTCTAAAAATATTGCATACAGATTTACTAAAGGCATAAAATCCTTAACCGGAAGATGAAACAACATTAATTCAATCATTTTTTAAGCCAAAAATGTACAATTTACAAAACATATAAGAGTAAGAAAGTGAGATCACTGAGCCGGGTAATAGAGTGGATATATATATAAATATATTTATATAGTTGGTGCGGCCGATTGCAACCAAATACGAGGTGCTTATCTACATGTTATAGCAGTCCTATATATAAAATTTCAACGTTCTGAGGCTACTCGTTTTTGAGTTATGCGAGATACGTACGTACGCACGAACGTATACGTTCGTACGTACAAACGCCACAAAAAATTCTCTTCAGAATTAATTTTAAAGCAGTTTTATAATTTTTTTGAAGGAAAAGAGTATTTTATTCTGCCCTTACGTATAGATATACGCAAAAACATCGTTAAATTGCATTTGATGGTGGTCAAAATGGATATTTTCGTTGAAATATGCTGCCTAAAACTTTTTGCGATTACAATACTTCCTTTTTACTTCGTACAAGGAAGTAATAATGAGAGTTTGGCGGCCGCAGTTCGAAAATTTTATACAAAATGTGGTAAAAATAGTGTTTTAACCTCTTCAACTGTGGAAAGGTTAATTGAAAAAATCATGGAGACTGGATCAGTTGGAGACACTAAACACACCAGTCGTCCAAAAATAAGTCGTTCAAATGTCAATATTGAAGCAGTGCATAAGAGTGTTGGTGAAAACTCAGGAACATCAATTCAGCGTCGTGGATATGAATTGCAAATTTCAGCAAGCTATCTACAGCATATACTCACAAAAGATCTGTATCTTTATGCTTACAAAATTCAATTATCACAACAACTGAAGCCTAATGACCATGAACAGTGAAGAGAGTTCATGGAATGGATTATCAATGCAAAAAGTGGATGCTGCTTTTTCGAGCAAATTAATCCTAAGCGATGAAGCACCTCGATGGCTTTGTTAATTGCCAAAATTGACATGTTTGGGGTTCGGAGAACCCACATGTGATTAGCGAAAAACAAATGCACCCACACTGTGTCATTGTTTGGTGTGGATTTGGGGCAGGAGGCATCATCGGACTATACTTTTTTTAGAATGAGGCTAGTTAAGCAGCAACTGTTAATGGTGCTCGATATCGCGACATGATAACACAGTTCCTTCTTCCGAAAATGGATGATATTGATGTGGCCAATATCTGGTTTCAACAAGACGGTGCCACATGCCATACAGCCAATGAAACAATTCAATTACTGCATGAGACGTTTCCTGATCGTGTAATCTCTCGTTTCGGTGATCAGAATTGGCCCCCTAGATAATGTGATTTAACACCATTAGATTTCTTCTTATGGGGTTATTTGAAGTCAAAGGTCTATGTCAACAATCCCACAACCACACGTGCATTACAAGAGGAAATTAAATGTTGCATCAACGAAATTCAGCTACAATTATGCAAAAAAATCATGAAAAATTTTGACGAAAGTGTGCGTTTGTGCCAGCAAAGCCGTGGAGGCCATTTGCTCGATGTGTTTTTCCATAAATAACCCTATCCTATGCACTTTATGGTTCACTTAAAAAATAAATATCTAAAGACTAAAAACTCTTTTATATTGAAATAAAATCTTGCATTAATTTTGAAACACCCTTTACTTCTATAATAGTTTTAGTTTTTAGAAAATGCAACGGATTACAGTTTTACAGAGACTTTATTATCATCTTCATTTTTAATGCTCTACTCATAACAATTAAAGGATTATCTGAAAAAATATGCTTGCTTACCATTGTCCAGTGGTGTAATAGTAATGTTAATTATCTGCAAATAAGTGCAAATTAGGCTATTAACATGTCACATGATAGATACATGTTCAAATTCATGTGTCTAGTGTTATTTAAAGTTTATGTGGTTTCTGGAAGTAATCATTAATCATCAATTATTACCTAAAGGCATTATTTAGGGAAAGGTCTAAAGTGGTAGTTACTTGGAAGGCTGAGAAGGGAGGAAGATATGTATAGAAATCGCCAAAGATCTGAATGTCCCTTAAAATGCAACATCAAGAACTTGGAACTGATTTTTTAAACAGTAAGTCCAGTTCTTAAATAGCCTTGTCAAGGATGGCTAAGAGATATATCTGCATCTGAAGATAATTTTCTGTCATTGCTAATTGAAAGAACTATGACGTTATTACAAGAGAATTAGTTTTAGACCTTTAGTCTGCAACACTAATTCAGATTGGCAGTTCTGCTTCTTGAAAGCTTTATGAGGTTTGAAATATATGTGAATAAACCTGATTTGTGTCTCACTCACTCCTTCTTCCAAAAGACACTTTCTAATGGTATTACTATCATATTCATTGGAGACAAAGTCCATGCACTGTTTGCTGTCCAAGTGTATCTTGAACTAAAGTCAGATTGAAAGTTTTTTAATCTGAAGAGCATGTAACTAACCTTCTCTTGATTTTCTGGAAAAGGGATCAAGAAAGATCCCGTTTTCACAGAAGTTGTTTTATGGTTTGGAGTGGAATCATGAGAAACGGCTATATAAGCTGTACATGTTTGATGGTGGTTTTGTAATTGGCCAAAGATATGTGTATGAGTTTTTGTAACCCCATGTAAAGCTGTTTAAGGGTACTTTTGGACAATATTTTTGCTAATGGATGGCAGTGCTGGGTCTGCATTGAATATCTTTAGCATTAAAATACTTGAAAATAGTGGATATCATTTTAATGGATTGTCCAGCACATTGTCCATATCTTGAACCCACTTTAGCTTGTGTGGGATGCTTTGGGTTGCCAAATGCATCCTTGGATTTTCCAGGATCTGAAAAGTGCACGTTTAGAATAGTGGTGTGCAATTCTACAAAACCTGCTCAACAGTTTGATAATTCTTTGAAATCAAGATTTGAGTTTTGCATTTCTATCAGAATTTTTTAATACCATATTAAGAGGTGATTAGTTGCAAAACAGGAAATCCATCATTTTAAAATTTTCATAAATTTGACTTCAATTTTGATTTTGAAACAAATTTGAGTTCAATATTTTGAAATTAATCAGCTGGAAAGCATATAATTCATGTTAAATAATGCTTTTGTGCAAATTGTTTTAAATCACTTTTATATGTTTAATTTTTCTATATCTTTTAATTTTTACAAACTGGTACTATTATTATTATTATGATTTTCATCAAGCTATACATTTTGACAAAATATAATATAATAATTTAAAAGAAGATTTTTTTAACTGCTTTGTTAAAGCAGTATTTGAAACCCAAAACTGAGTTTGGTAATTCATAAAGAAAAGTTTTTTTTTTCCATTTCTTTATGTTAAATTTTTTAAGTAATAATATCTACTCTCATTTATGTGCCTGTATGTATGTTTATGAAAAAGGAAGAAACAACACTGTGTGATATGAGAATTTTCATTTTTAAGGGTCACGTGTTTCTTTATCTAACAGATTATGCAGTATTATATTTAGTTTTTTTTTTTTTTTTTTTTTTTTTTTTTTTTTTTTTTTTTTTTTTTAAGATCATTTCTATCATTTTTGGAGGTTATTTATCTACCAAGGAAAAGATAAAAGCTGCAACTTAATCTGAATGAAAGTGACCTTTAAAACCTATCCTGTAGAGTAACTGTTACAGATGTATGAGTCATTACTCATCTTTTTTCAGAATAGACTTTGTAGTATCAGTAATATAGCTATCTCTATTTTTGATAGATGTATCAAGAGCCATAATATGTTTGCTAGGTATGAATCTTGACTTCTGTTTATTTATTTGGCAAAATATTAGATTTTGTTATATTAAAGGGTTCATTGTTAATGGGTTGATGTCTCTAAGATCTGGTGTATTTTAAGGTCACCTTATCAAATATGATAAGAATGTATTTTGATGACTACTTTATATTTTTCTTTCATGAAATCAGTCATGAATGAAATTAAGATGCTAACATTTCAACTTAAGATATATTCAGCTGATGAGTATTTCTCCTGGAAGGTCAATTATAGTAGGATGAAAATTATATGAATCCATTTTCGAAAATTAAAGGTATTAATGCAGTCAATGAGAAGCTGCTGTAATGTATTATTTGTGTAATTAACAAATTAGTTTCTTTCTGAATCATATTTATTTTCAATGTCGAATTTTACATAATAAGCACTGTAATTTTATTAAAGGTCTAGATTTCTTAATTATCTCAACTGTAATTCAAATGGCTGAATCCAGGAAGAAAAAGGACAATAAAAAATGTGGTGTTTGTGGTGACAATGCATTAGGCAGTAATTTCAATGCCATTACATGTGAATCATGCAAAGCATTTTTTCGTCGAAATGCCTTGAAAACTAAAGTAAGTTCATTGTGTGTGTGTGTGTATGTATGTTTAGAATATATAGATATAAAATCTTTTATTATTATTATTATTCTGTGTGTTAGGAATTTTAGCTTATTCAAGTGTCATTTATATCTTTACTTTGAAATATATATGTAACCTTTCTAATATGAATATATGATTACGTTTTCATAAAGCTTCGTCCTGTTTTTGATTTGCGGAGATACTATGTAAATTCTTCACTACTAATAATAGAGTTCCACAAATTCCAAGTGCTAGGCTAGTAATATGATTAATTTTAGTGTTGAATATTTTTTCTAATATCACATTTTATGTAAAAATTATTTATTATTTTATATAAAAATCATGCAAAACTTGCCTCCCCGTTAGTGTGTTTTCATGTGTTATGTATTTATATTCTTTCAGTAATCATGGAGTCTTTTGTACCACATACGAAATTATACTAAATGCCTTATTTGCATTATTAAAAATATCAGAATCAAAGAATAATTTTGTATGTGCCATTTTGTCTGGTAGATAAAATAATTGTGTTTTTACAAATTTATTAAGCTAATAGAATTTGATTGTTACTAAATATGCATAGTTGAATTATTCTTTTTGTGAAGATGTAAATGTTTATGGCGAGAGAAAAGACTCATTCTACTAATTAGGAAAAAAAAAGATAACTAATTGATGAGTCAACTAAAGAGATAAGTATGGTCTTGGTGGTACTTTAACTAAATTTAATCATGTTCCTTACTTCTTTTACTTAATAACTTTTCATTATATAAAATTTATTTATTATAATTCTTTAAAAGCTTTGTTTTTTTTTTTTTTTTTTTTTTTTTTTTTTTTTTTTTTTAAGATTGAAATGGCGAAGTAGTTGTTCTTGCCAGTAATAAGTAATTTAATTCATAAAACCATGTAAATAGTAAACTAACTAAATGATATAAATTCAATGATCTAGTTGGTGAATTGCAATTACTTCATTTCGTTTTTCATGTTATAATTTTTTCATCACGTGGCAAATCTGGATCATGATTTTAATTTTAAACATGCGATCTAAGATCTGAAGCAAATTTAATTAATGTAAATTATTTTGAAATGCTAAAAAAAAACTTATATTATTAAAAGAATATTTATAAAATAAAACCTAGTTAATTATATGTTTGATATTTGTTTGCTTTTAAACAATATGAAAATGCTAAATCAGCATTTTAAAATCCATAATAATACTAAGTTGTGTAACATAAAATCCTTTCATTCAGCAAAGGATAAGGTCTTTAATTATTATTATTATTATCATGCAGTATTATGATCTATTTATTCATACTGGGAGAATTACTTCAAATATATAAATATTTTGTTAAATCTTAAGGAAATCTTAATGTAATAGAAGGCTTTTCTAATTTAAAAAAAAAAAAAAAGGGCAAAGGGGCATTAGCCTAGAAAGTCTTGAAACATCATTTTGCATTGAATCACTAAAACCGTATAATTTTTTAGATTGTTGCTACCAAGTATTATCACCCTGTATTTAAAGAGGTTAAATAATGAAGGAATCTGCATGAATGTATGTATGTTTCTCACATTGTAGAAAAACAATGGTATCTAGAGCCATCAAATTTTGAATAGCGTAGTCTTCCACCCAAATATGAGCGAGCACTGGGAAGCCCTAATTTGGAATTTGAAATTTTTTTATTATTGATTTCATATTTTATAAAACTTTTATTCATTTTTGATTAACAAACTCAACGATTTTAAAGCAAGCAATGGGAAAAAATATTTTTATATCCAGCGGGCAAGACTGTGTATCGGAAATTCTAAAGATATGCTCATTTTAAAATTATTTTGTGATACTGCTGTTGAACTGAATTTTATAATTTGAGTATGTAGAACATGATATTTAATAAATAAAGGTAACACACAAAATATTTAAAAAATGTCACTTTGGACATAATTTAAAATTTGAAACCTTTCACATTTTTTTTTTTCCTCTCTCTCTCTCTCTTTTTCTTTTTTTCTTTTCTTTTTTTCTTTTTTTTTTTTTTTTTAATTATTTTGAACTCATATTTCAAATTGCTCAAAAACCATATTGCACTGTTTGCAACAGTTTCATGGTAGATGGAATAATATGTAAATGCAAAATAACTAAGTGCGTGTTCCTGTTTGCTCTAACTATGCTGTTTGATATTGTTATACTAGTAACTGTCAATTGCACCCATTCTTAATGCAGGGCTCTTTAAAAGCCATGCACATCTAAATTTCAAAAATTGTAAAAGTTCCAGAATAGATATTAATAGCAAAGGTTTTCATTGGATGATATTCCTATACTGTTATATATATCACTTGAAATTTCAGTTACAGTCTTTACTACTAACTGTATAATTCATATGTTTTCTGCAAGATGGCAATGAGTTTATCCCAAGCAGAATGAATTTTTATGATTGAACATTTATTCACAGTGCTATTTTTCTCACACTTCTTTTTGGTGATTGCTACATTTTATTCCTGATTTCACCATTTTATCGCAGTTCGGAAAAAAGAGATGCATTCAATTTGTTTCTTATGGTTAATGCTTGCAGTTTCTTGAAATCAGGTTACCAAGTGGAAAATCATTGTCTTGTTAGTTTTACAAGCATTTGGAATCTCTTTATAAGCAACTATTCTGTAAAAATATATTGCTAATTCATGTTCAGACATGAAAATTTATTCTCTTTGGGACAAGCTTATCTTCATCTTGCATAAAAAAAATTAATATTAAAATAAAGCTTGGGGCATGAACTGCAATTGAAATCTCAATATATTATTTGTAACAGTACAGAGGTGTCATTCATTTGAACAATTTGTTATTAATATCAGTGCTGAAATTTCCACAGTTTTTTAAAGTTTGATGTGTGCTGCTTTTAGATCATGCTTTCTGTGTACATATGTAATATATTCTGTAGGTAACTTTTCGTTGATGCATGCAGGCATGTTGAAAGGCATACATGTAGGATCATATTATCCTACCAGCTATTTTAATCTGTAATGTAAATTCTGTAGATATCTTGAGATTGTAAAACAGACACACACACACTAGGTGACATACCAGAGAAAAAGAAACTTAGCAGGTGTGGTGTAGATTCAGCACAGTTGTATTTCTTGATAACTAATTCTTAAGACTCATATTCTTTTTTACATATCATCATTATGGATGTGATAAGCACACCACAATTTTATATAACTGATAACATCTTGAGACAGTGGATGACATAGCATAATGACACACACAGATTGAGAGAAGAGAGCAAAAGTAAGTGCACATTTTATCAAAGCAAAATTTATAGATTCACTTTCCTTTGTTTAAATATTAAACAGTGATTGGATAAAAAATATATGCAATGCTATTGTTATGTAATGGCTTAATGCAGGTTAAATTTCAGATGATGCACTCTAGATTCATGTATTTATAGTTTGTTGTTGTTGTGACTTATCTCTCGTGTCCAACAATAACATCAGAACAAGGCCATGAAATTCATCATGGCAAGAGAGTGCAAGATTGTGCCTGTCCTTGGCAAGAGCCTTGAATGTCATATAGGTGACAGTACAACTTTTCTCAGCTCTGCCCTCTATTTTGATGGAGGGCACCCCATGGGGGACAAGTCCACCAACCTCTCAAGAGAACTTTCACTTCACTGTGTATTTAGATTACCTCCATGCTGTGTGTAAGATAGAAATATTTAAATCAAAATTAGGAGTTAAATTAGCAATAGTCCATATAGATTAGTTCATGTGACATGGCTTGCATAATACTGATGACGTAGTTAATTTGGCACTTGAACTCAAAATTTTGAAAACTGAATCTCTTGTTCTTCCATATTGGATTAATTGCACATTTTTTTCTTCTACCTCTGTGCCACTTGAAAGCTATTTCATTCTGCTCTCTTTCTATTGCAACACTATAAAATGTCAATTTTCTTGAATAGGCATGATTAGAGTGCCAAGTAAATTGTGGCCACAAATGTCAACTGAAAAAAAAAATTAATTTAATCCACCTCAATTGCCTAGTTTTTTAGTCGTTATGGGTTCAACATTCTACTCAATCAGAATTCTTCTTCAGTATGGATCTATGTTGTATGCAATCTGTGTTCTATGCCATCAACACTGCTCTCTCTTTTTCATCACATATCTATATGCATTCAAAATAATATGTAAAAAATATCATTACAGATATATATATATATATAAAATCGAGAGCTAATAATTAAATCAGAAGTTGTGGCCAACTATCTAACAGGAAGAATACAAATCAGTTTTGAAATAGACTTTAATAATTTTGAAATTTCTAAACCCTTGTTTTATATTTAAATATCTATACAGTAGGCACCACTTTTCACATTTGTCTATGGCTATTTTGATAACATTAACCAAATGATAATATTACATGATGAGAAGAAATATCCTTCAAAATAATTTTGGAGTGAAATTAATTTAATATAACTAGAAGCATTTAAGCAAGTACTTTCACAACATTTTAGTTAAAAAAAAATAAAAAAGTTTCCATATTGAGTTCATAGCATTTCTAGAAATTATTTGACCAATGCCAAACTCCTTTCTTCATTTGAAGAAAGCATGCCAATATAAATTTTTAAACTAGGCAAAAAAGCATAGCTTAATTTGGCATAAATGATTTCAGGAAATTGGGGGTGGGGCAAACTGCAGAAATTTTTTTGCTTGTGAAGAAGAGGGATTCCTTCAAATTTATTCGTTGCTCAAAATCTATGTCAAACTGAGATTGTTTTTGTGGCTAATTTTAAATGGCTTATTGAAATTGAAACCAATCTCTTTGGTGACTAAGTACCTTACTTGTCAACAGATATCTGTGATTTGGCAATTTCTGTAATCTATTTTGACCTTATTTGGTGACTTGCCAATTCGATAGCAATATCCAAATGATAACTTTAACTGTGATCATATTAAGGTATCTACTGTATATTCATGGAGATATCTATGTGCATAAGTATTTCTAATGTTATATAAGTTCAATGTTTTTAAAACTAAGTCAACTGCTAGGAGGTACATTATAAAAGTAATATATTTTACTTCTGATGATGTACCTTCCATTTCGAAGAATACAAAGTAGCATGTTTTATAATACTTTATGCAATCTGTCTTTGGGTGTATTTCCCGAATTTGCTTTTTTTTTTTATCTTGCAAACAAAAAATAAGTTTTCTTAGTCAATATGGAATTTTCTATTATTGAGATGCTAATTGAATAAGTTGTTTGTCCTTAGTGTTTTATAATTGTTATAATACAGAGATTTTAAAAATTGTTTTAGATATTTTAAATAAAACATTTAAATGTTTTTAATATGTTTTACTTTTGATAGGAATTCAAATGTCCATTTGAAGATAATTGCAAAGTTGACATGGTAACTCGACGCTTTTGTCAAAAGTGCAGATTGAAAAAATGCTTTGCTATAGGCATGAAAAAAGAATGGATAATGTCCGAAGAAGAGAAAAAAGCCAAGCGGGACAAAATTGAAAAAAATCGTAGAAAAAGAAATAGTCAGCAGGCTTCATTACAGGTTCAGGACTTTACTTATATCAAAGCTGAAAGCCCTGATGATTCCCAGATGTTGCTTAGCCCTATTTCATCAATGTCTCCTATGACACCACAAACTCCTGGTAGTGTTGGAATGATCGCTGACCTTCCAAAAACTCGTGCATTCACTCATCAGCCTCTCACTCCATCAGATTGTGAATACAGCCCTCCAACAAAAATTCCACATTTGGAAAGTGCTTCAGACTCAATGCAAGATGAAGTATCTAATCATTCATCTCAAACAGCACATTCTGCTGAAGATACTAATGAATCTGTGAGTATTTCATCTGAAACGGGGCATTCTTTGATGATAAAACATGAAGTTGGCAGCTCCAACTCAGTAAATAATAGCATTCGGGAAACTGAAGGTCTGCTAGTGCCAAAAGTAAGCCTGCTGGATACTTCATCATCATTATGCAATGATGTGCCTAAATCAATTTATGCAAAAGCAGTTGAAATTGAATTCACTGAACTTCCAATCAGAACTGAACTTACGACATCTAAAGAGCTTAATAAACTTGAAAAATTAAAGCTTCAAGAGCTAGTAATCGCAAATGAGGTATTGAAAATGCCTTTGCCATGTGGTATGTCTGATCCAAGTCTGTTAGATGTAATTAATATGACAGATCATGCTATTAGACGTTTAATCAAGATGTCAAAAAAAATCAATGCTTTCAAAAATTTATGTCAGGATGACCAAATAGCTTTATTGAAAGGCGGTTGCACAGAATTAATGATACTACGCTCTGTTATGTCATATGATCCTGAAAAAGAGTGCTGGCAAGGGCCTCAGGGTCCAAAAGTTATGTCTATTAAAGTAGATATTTTGAAAGAAGCAAAAGGCAATGTCTATGAAGAGCATAAGCGATTTATTAATTCATTCCATCCCCAGTGGCGAACTGATGAAAATATCATGCTTATATTAAGTGGCATTGCTCTTTTTACTCCTGAGCGCCCAAATACAGTTCACAGGGAAGCAATTAGACTTGAACAAAATACATACTACTATTTGCTACGCCGTTATCTAGATTCGATGTATGACTATTGTGAAGCAAAAACTGTTTATCTGAAGCTAATACACAAGATACAGGAGCTGCATATTTTGAATGAAAATCATGTTCGTGTTTATTTAGATGTAAATCCAAAAGATGTGGAGCCACTTTTAATCGAAATCTTTGATTTGAAACATTGAATGTTGGAAGCAAATTTTGTTGTAGCCTGTATATTATGAAGTGGTTTCTTGTCTAAATTACTGTAGAAATAGTTACATTCTTTTGTGCCAACATAATTTTAAAGTATGTCTTGAGTTATAACATGGTTCATTATTTCTTGCATTTTAAACTTGATTATGAAAGTGTTATTCTAGAAAGTCAAACTTTAAAGTGTTTTGTCATTTCATTTGTTTATTCTGAAGTTCTCAATATTTTTAAACAGTTTTTAATTTCATCCAGTTTTGTGTATGCATAACATTTTTGGATGTAGTATGCAGTGTTTTTAAACAACTTTTAATTTTCATCATGTTTTGTGAGTATATAACATGAACTGTGAATGCATAATGTTTACTGATGAACATTTCATAGTTTATCGTATAACAGTTATCGTATGAAAAATTGATTTGAGCATATATTTGCAAGCAGAATAATGTCAACTATTGTCATACAGGATCTATTTTTACACAACATTACAATTTAACGACTGTCTTTCATGAAAAGTTCATGTGTCTAGCTCATGCATTTTAAGAATTTCTGAATTGATGCATGAAACTCTGAATGGTGAATTTTTAATCATCAGCTTCTCATTTTTCATATGTTTATAAAATGTGGGGAGTTGTTAAATAATGTAGTTAGTTTTTGAGATGTTACATAATTTGGTATGTGTCAAGACTGAAGTAAAGCTATAAACTCATTGTAAACTACATAGTCGTTCAGAGGCTTATGATTTTGCAAACATGATTTGTTAAATCTGTTTTGTGTTATTCATTTGCTAACGTTTGATTAATTTTATGTAAATGTCTAATATTCTGTTTTGTTGTGAATTTATGTGTGTGAAATGCATGAATTTGATTCCCCCCTTTCATTGCAGTTAGTATGTCACTGAGCTTATTTATGGGAAATATGGATAATTATTTCTAGATTTCATTATTCAAATTGCTAACAAGACTACCTTAAGGCAAAATGCATTTTGCAAGTATTGAAAGTTTTATTAATAAATTGTAGCTTACATTATCCATATAAGAAATTTAGTTATTTTTATTAGTCACCAGTAATAGAGCCACATATTCTGTCATGTCTGAAAACAACATTTAATGCATGATTTTGCTTTGTTTCAGGTGGTGTTTTTATAGATTTTCTTTTTTGCTTGTAAAACCTCACTAATTTAAGGATGATTTCCTGTTATGAGAGCCTTGATGAGAAAAGGAAAATGATGCATTTCAGTCTTGAAGAAAATCGAGCAATTACTGATGCACTTAATATAAATTTGTATATATATTATTTTATTTAATGAAATTTTGCTAACTTAATACAAATTAAAAAAAATTAAAGACAGACAAAATTCATTTTAAAGAAACACTTTCTAGTGGCCACATTTCAAACATATTAAAATATGTGCAAATTAAATATATGGAATTAAAATATATGCAAATTATTGCATATGTTTTTTATCTAAAAAAATTCTTAAATTATCATGAACATGAAAGGAATTACTTCTTCCTCTAAGGCTGTAATTTTCAGCATGTCAAAGTAGTGACTTAAAAAATACTTATCATACTTAACAAGTATAGCTATGTTAAATATGTTTTATCGTAAAAGCATTGTGGATTCTTGTATGCAAAAGCTTTAGTCTCTTAAGTACGTAGCTTTTAGGCCAGGTTTTTCATTATTGCCATATTATTAATCTAGGCCAAGTTAGTTAGGTCTAGATTATTGCATTAGAAATATTTTGAAAGCTTCATTATTAACACATAATGATTATTTAGTTGTATGTGAATTTTAAAAATGTATGTAAACTGTAGTGATATGATTTTGTTATTAATCAATATATTATAAAATGTTTGTCAAGCACATCTATAAATGTTCTCCTGGTTTAAGAATTTTGTTTTGTTTCAAAAACTTTTATTTCTGTTCTAAATTTATAGTTTATTTATATATTTTTAAATTTATATCATACTTTAAATCTCAGTGCTTTTAAAAATAAACCTCTAATGTAATATGTGATGATTTTAAAAGCATGGATGAAAGCAATGGACTTCCCAACAGCTTACGATACTGCATAGATGACTGAGAAGACCGTAGTGGCTTAAAGATGGCAGAGTGGAAAGCATGATGACGCAATTTAGCACAACATATCTTGAAAAATCACAATCTTTATTTTTTCCATGCATATCAAATAATCCTTTTTCAGACAAGATATTCTTAATAATATTTGAATAGAATAACTCCCATTTTGAAGTACATCATCTTAAGCAAGTAAGCGACTGCAGCATGGATGAAAAGCATCTTACCAGCTGGAGAGCTAATGCGGAAAAAGGGCAGAGTATCATAGAACTTCAGAGGAAGAAGGGTGGTATTCGGAAAAGTTTCAGTTCACAGTTTTGGTTTAGAATTAATTTGATTGGACGAGAGGCATCTGCATTAAAACGTTACATAAGATAGAAAAGTCTGGAACCTGTGAGAAGAGTTGAATTTAGGGGCAGATTACCAAATTTAGAATGTTAATTTTGAGGTCGTCAGTTATTTTTTTGAAACAGCTATCATATTTTGTTATATCTTACATATCCCCCCCCTTCAAAAGAAAAGTTGGGTGAGCAGGGTGGAAGAACAAGCATTAGAGCAGCAAATGTGAAAGATATAATTTTGAAATACAAACATATTAACTTTTAAACAAAAAATTATTGTCATAAAATTTTGACCGATATTTTGAATTAATTTTGACATTTCTGAATGTCATAAAATTTTAAATTCTATAATAATTTTAGACACTGTACTCTTTTAAAACAATTGCACATTTTAGTGTTCTGAGATAAGAATGTCCAGTGAAATTTTGTAAAGTTCTTGAAAGTTCCACATGGTAAAAGTTCAAATTTTTTCACAAATTAAATGTTCAAATAAAATTCTTTCAAATTTTTGTTGATGAAAATATTTCTATTATATTACAAATTAAGATGCCAATTTTCATATTATTTAATTATGTTTTTCAAGGAAGGCATTTTAAAATATAAAAATTTTGTAAAACACCATTCATAAACACAATTTCAAATTTTTCACTATTATTAAGACATTTAAAATTTACTTATTCTTTACAAAACTTGAAGACTTCACAACTTTATCTAAATACGAGCATTTCCATTATATTGGTTTATCAGTTGAGCAAACTGGTGTTTAATATTCTTCACCTTTGGCCAAAAGATTTGCCAAATTAGCAGTTACTGTAGAAAAGGCCTCCATTCCTTCCGTAGAGGCAACTGGCCTTTTTCGAACTGCAGTCATTCCATATGAATATTAAAAACACACTCCATTTGATGAAAAAATAAAAATACTTATTAAAAAAATGTGTTTTTTTCATAAGGTGAGAGCCTTCAACGTTTATCTTGAAAACATTAAAGAAATACCAACAATTAAAAATTTTCAAACATTAATTTCATTCTTAAAATACAGTAAAAATTCAAAAAAAAATTTTTAAACAATAGTACAAAAATATTATTCGCATTAGAAACCTTCCCTAAATAAAACATTCCTAATTTTTACAAAATTCAATAATTTCTTTTTCCCAATTCAGAAATACAAAACTACATTTTAAATAAATCATAATATTTTTGAATTATTAATATTCATCTTAAAATGATTAAAGCAAAGTATTACCATCAATAAATCATAATACAATTAACTTATAAATGCAATTTTTTTAAACGTAATATACTCAATTTGGAAATTATATCACTTCCCTATCATATTTGATGACGCATGATAATATAGCATTCTTAGAATATGAAGAATTTTCCAAATAAAGCACTGAACATGCAAGAGAGCACAAAATACTATTTGGCATTTCATGTTTCACTAATGAGGTTGATGACCTTCAAAGCACTTTGGATGTTTAATTTTGTTTTTACGCGATGATTGGAAATGAATAAACATTGTAAATATTCGAAGGGAGCAAGTAACATTAACCATATTTCACTACGCTGCGGCATTGACCTTGATTCCAAACACTTTCGATTTTGAAATTGCAGATTTACTCGATGATTTTCAAAGCACTTTTTGAATATGCCGTTAAATCACACACCGGAAACGAATTTGGTGATTCACTGGAAGTTTGAGGCAGAAGAGGTCGAAATCCATTCGGGAAAACTTGCACCAGGTTAATCCTATCCTGACTTTTTATAAATATGTAATGATTTCAAATGCGTAGATGAAAGCAATGCACTTCCCAACAGCTTACGATACTGCCTAGATGACCGAGAAGACCGTAGTGGCTTAAAGGTGGCAGAGTGGAAAGCATGATGACACAATTTAGCACAACATATCTTGAAAAATCACAATCTTTATTTTTTCCATGCATATCAAATAATCTTTTTTCAGACAAGATATTTCTTAATAATATTTGAATAGAATAACTCTCATTTTGAAGTACGACGTCATCTTAAGCAAGTAAGCGGCAGCAGCATGGATGAAAAGCGTCTTACCAGCAGGCGAGCTAACGTGGAAAAAGAGCAGTACTTCAGAGGAAGAGCCCAATTCTTAATTGTTGGTATTTCTTTTTATTTTAATTCAACAATTTTTAATTGTTGGTATTTCTTTAATGTTTTCAAGATAAACGTTGAAGGCTCTCACCTTGTAGAACTTCAGAGGAAGAAGGGTGGTATTCAGAAAAGTTTCAGTTCACAGTTCTGGTTTAGAATTAATTTGATTGGACGAGAGGCATCTGCATTAAAACGTTACATAAGATAGAAAAGTCTGGAACCTGTGAGAAGAGATGAATTTAGGGGCAGATTACCAAATTTAGAATGTTAATTTTGAGGTCGTCAATTATTTTTTTGAAACAGCTATCATATTTTGTTAAGGCTATGTGCATAAAGAGATGAGTGCCTTCATGTATGGATGTCTTACTAAGAAATATTGCCTCATATATTATGTATGAGAAGAGTAAAAATACTTTTGGGGCCATCCTATTTCATCACAGGAAGCGAATCTAGTATTTCATGATTTCAGTGCTGGTTAACCCACACTCTGTTATATAATATTACATCTTTATTATATACTATATTTAAATTTTTTGTTATTACAAAGAAGTAATAATTAGTGTTAAAATATTATAAGACCTGTTGTGGCAACCATTTTTTATAAATGGCCACCTCCGAAAGTGACCAATATTTCTTTATGCATAAATAAGCATTAGAATTGAATATAACCTCTTTAATGTGACAGCCTCCATAGAGGACTAAAAGCATTGAAATATGGGTGAAGGAGATAATGCTATGTATTATACTAGTCTTGTGAATTGCATGAGTACAAAATATTTCTGCCATTTCCAAAATGGAAATGTAATTTAATGTTTTAAACTATAGTCTTGTATAGGTATGTGATAAATTATGATTTCTTTTCGAATGTTGTATACATGCTTAAGCAGTAAAATATGTCTTTTGGCATTTTGATTTAATGCATTGTTTTATATTACTAATAGAATACATATATATTTAAAATTTTTATTTTCTACATATATCTGTTAAATTTTATTAAATCCACTGTTGTATATTTATATACATATATACATGTCATTAACTTAGCACTCATTCATATATAGAACTATAGTTATGATAAATTATTATACTGGTGTAATATATCATTAGCATGGATTATATTGAAAAGAAATGAAAATTGAATTATATTGATTAAAATTCATCCTGAAGCTTTTTATTTCAATCTCAATTTAAAATGTTTTAATTTTAAAATTGGAACCATTATGAATCAAATTGATGTAATGAAACTTTAATGTGGAATATCTTAATGAAATATCTTTTTCATTAATGTTTATTGTATAATCATAAACTGCAAATAAAAATAAGTTCACAAATTCATGCTTTTGGAATAATAAACATATTTTGTAATGTATTTATGTTCTCGTATATAAGAAAGAATGTTTAAGTGCCTTTTAATAAGTGTTTGCAGAGGGGGGAAATTTTTTTCTCTCCATATCTTGTAACCAGGTTTCCATCCATATGTGTAATATTG